TGTCGCCACGTCACACCCACAGACACGTCACAGCTCACCGCCGGTTTCTTTACAATCTTCCAAACAGTGCTGTTGGTTTGTGTGAACTTGGATCTGATTTATTCTTTCATGTAATTTGAAATAGAGAGAAATGTTAGTGTTTGAGGTTTGGTGCATGTGTGTAGCTTACAGTGTGTGTTGGTGTTTTCCATATTTCTCCTGACATTCCCGGCTCCCTGCTGTGTGGATGCTACCGTGCTTCACACAGCACTTTTATGAGGAAACGAGTGGATTAGAATCACACGCAGGCTCTCCATCCACACTGTTGTTCACGTAGTAATAATGTGTGCTCCACGATAAGGCCGCCTGCCTCTGGAACAGCAGAGTCCGCCAGCCGACTGCTTTCATAGTCTGCACTGTTGTTTGGACGTCCTCACGGGAAACTAATCCGAGCCGTGAGGACGGCTAGCGTTTCAAATGCATGTGAGTGCACGTCACACACTTCTGGCTTTGAGTTTTAAAGTTGATCCTGCAGAAGCGTGCCGTCTCCCTGCAGCCGGGAGTGAAAGTGGGACAACCCTGATGAGGATGCACATATTTATCAGAGGCTAACCCTTCTAGCATATACGACCTTGATTCTGATGGCCGACTGTCCTCTGTTGTCTTTTCTGTGTATCGATGCTGACACTGCTGACTGTCTTGAAGTTGACGTGGCGTTCGTTGGCTCTTCTCAGACAGGCTGAGGGCAGAATAAGTTCTTCAGTTAACAAATACTGGTGTTCAGTACGGCTGTGCTGCCAGTCGGCCTCTACCTGACGCGCTTTCCCTGCTTTGTGTGTGATTGATTTGGTTCTGGATGTCAGGGATTCAAAGTCAGCACGTCATGTGTTTCTTTCAGGTCGGTCCTCTCTCCTCCACAGAAGCCGTGTCTGTGTTGGTGAACATCACACGGAGCGTTTCAGTTTGATGTAAACACAGATTTGAACGAGGGTCTGCCTTTTTGTCCAGCGATGCCATGAAGTCTTGAACTTAGCTGTCATTATGTAACACATGCAGCCTTCATTAGGAGGAATATCATTACTGAACGGACAGGAAGAGTTAGAAAGTAGCCCTAATGTTCTGACATCAAGTCATTTTGTAGAGAAATAAATCATTAAGATTCGCACTAAGAGCTGATTTAAGGGGTTTTGTATTTGTGTTATTCATGGTATAACTGATTTTCTCAGAAGTGTGAAGCTGTTGGAGGTTTTGTTGTTTGGCACAGAATCTTTTTTTTCTCATTTCAATTTATAGTTTTTCTCACAATAGACTAAAAACTGGTTTAAAATAAAGAGTGAGACTGTAATGAGCAGCTTTTCTGCAGATGCCACCCCATCTCTTTAAAACAACGACATTGCATCAACTGCATTTACTCTGTACTTTGTTATTATCGCTGTTTCCTCTGCTGCCCCCGTCCTCCACGGAGAAGAAGTGAAGGGAACACACCTGAAATAAAGGTTGGATTAGAAAAAGCTCACAGTGTCTTTCAGGTCATTGCATCTCAAATTACTGTCAGCCTTCTGCTTGACCATCACTAAAATGTTAGGGTAAAGTGTTTGTGTGTGTGCACGTTTAGATAGAGCTGGACTAAAAACACACAGAAGCACTGATAGCACATGAAGAAGCTTTAAGCACACTGACAGAATCTAGAGTTCAGCAGGGTGTAAGATGCAGGCAGGTCATTCATGGCACGCCATAACCACATAGTTTCATAATTCAATTCAATTTTATTTATATAGCGCCAAATCACAACAACAGTCGCCTCAAGGCGCCTCATAGATACAGAGAAAAACCCAACAATCATATGACCCCCTATGAGCAAGCACTTTGGCGACAGTGGGAAGGAAAAACTCCTTTTTAACAGGAAGAAACCTCCAGCAGAACCAGGCTCAGGGAGGGGCGGGGCCATCTGCTGCGACTGTTTGGGGTGAGAGAAGGAAGACAGGATAAAGACATGCTGTGGAAGAGAGACAGAGATTAATAACAGATATGATTCAATGCAGAGAGGTCTGTTAACACATAGTGAGTGAGAAAGGTGACTGGAAAGGAAAAACTCAATGCATCATGGGAATCCCCGGCAGCCTACGTCTATTGCAGCATAACTAAGGGAGGATTCAGGGTCACCTGGTCCAGCCCTAACTATATGCTTTAGCAAAAAGGAAAGTTTGAAGCCTAATCTTGAAAGTAGAGATATCACTCTAAAAACTATTGTTTAAGCTCAACAAAAAAAATTAACGCAACAGTTTCCATTACTCTTTTTGAGTTATGATAACTTGTGTTGAAATTAGATTGAACCAACAAACTATATTGAGTTACGGGAATTAAATTATCCTCCATAATCAAAGGTGATTTTAATTACCATTTAGGTAATATTTGGTAGCTTAAAAACATATTTTTAAGTTGTTTACTCATAAAAATTATGTTCCTCCAATTACTTTTTCCACATTATTTGAAATGATTTTTAAATGTTATGTAATTAATTACAGCAATTACAAAAACAATTTTTTAAAGTTCATTATTTAAAATATTAAGTTGCTGATTTTCATCATTATTATCATCATTTTAGCTTTCTCTCATTTTTTTTATTGTAATAGCTTTTAAGAAAGGAATTCATTCAACATTTTTTTTATCAAATAACTTTTTTATTTTTTAACAGTAGGCATTTCAACACTTTGTACTTAAAAAGTGAAAATAAACCAGAAATTTAGATTTATACCATCACAGCCAAGTTATAGAATATGCCTTTATGTATTTAACACCACAGAAACAAATGTGTTCAATTGGTAAAAAATCTACTTAGAAAACATTTTGTTGCAGTAATACTTCCATGCAAGTGTTCAGTAAATGTTAACTTTCAATGCCTACCAAACTTTACAAGATCTTGCATCTTTCTATGACACAATGCAGCAAACACCTTTAAGATCAATGTTACACATACAGGATTCAAAACAGTTAACAATCTTTGAAACAGAGTCAACATCTTTAACATAATGATGGTTCCATCAAGGTCAAGGAACAGCTTCTGAACAACTTCAAAAGTATATTTCAGATCCTTGCATTAGCTCAGATTGAGAGCATATATTATGCCCATGAGCAAAACACAGCACCTTGGGAAATTCTGGCCCTCCATGATTTTTGTTTCCTCCACCACAATGGTTGCAGTCTTATGGTTAGATCCAGGGGTGTACCGGTCACTGATGATGGCAGTTTTCATCACCTGCCTTAAGTTCTTCGGTGTCCTTGTAAAGCAAATTTAAAAAAAAAATAGGTTAGTAAATTATAGATTAGACTTTTATACTTACTGAATCTTAATGAATTCAGATGATCAATGGAAAACACACACACACACACACACACACACACACACACACACACACACACACACACACACACACAAAATGCTGGATTACTTACACCAAACTCCATGAACAGGCCCTCGTCCTTCTCTCCAAGGAAAGTGATAAGGCAGCAGATGGCTACTTCTCTGCGTGTTTCGATTGTATTGTGCTATTTAAGAAAAAATAAAGTATGCGTATAAACTACATGGGTGACTGCCAACAAAGTGCATTTCAAAGATACCCAAAGTCTAAAGAGTTGTCCTACCTCAAGAAGCATGTCCTTGATCTGCCTGATTCTCACTCCTTTAGCTCCTCCCCTTGATAAAATGACATCCATCAGTTTTGGGGTGCAATGGTCAAGTGTAGCCATTCAAGGCTTACAGTGGTTGAACTCTTGAACTTCTCCTTTATCTGTCGACCACACAAACACAAGAATTAAGCCTTGCAGACTATTAGCTATACTGCATTAATGAATGCTGTAATACATTATTTAAAGAGGATAGAAGTGATCTAAGGCTACCCCAAATTTTGAGGGAACAAAAACAATCTTGGTGAAGACAAGGGAGACTTCCCCACCATAACCGTGGTGTAATCTCTAATGTTTTAGCAACCCTGTTTTTGCAGAGGTTTCGAATTTACACATTGTTCACTCCCAGCCCATTTTGTAAAAAATGTGTCCCAACTTAACAAAGCACTAATGACCCTCGATTATCACACTATACTAACTGCTTACATAAAGTCTTGATGTTAAGTAGATTCACATAGCCTATGTCAGAATAATGCTATTGGAATGACATTAACAATATTTCACACAATCTGATTTTTTTTTAAAAACAAAACAAAGATACAGTTGTGGTCAAAGGTTTACATACACTTGTAAAGAATATAATATAATGGCTCTACCGAGTGTCCTGTTATTTCTAAAACTCTGATTTTTCTCTGATAGAGTGATTGGAACAGATACTTCTTTGTCACAAAAAACATTCATGAAGTTTGGTTCTTTTATGACTTTATTATGGGTTAACAGAAAAAAGTGATCACATCTGCTGGGTCAAAAATATACATACAGCAGTGCTAATATTTGGTTACATGTCCTTTAGCCATTTTCACTTCAATTAGGCGCTTTTGGTAGCCATCTACAAGCTTCTGGCAAGCTTCTGGTTGAATCTTTGACCACTCCTCTTGACAGAATTGGTGCAGTTCAGTTAAATTTGATGGCTTTCTGACATGGACTTGTTTCTTCAGCATTGTCCACATGTTTTCAATGGGGTTTAAGTCAGGACTTTGGGAAGGCCATTCTAAAACCTTTATTCTAGCCTGACTTAGCCATTCCTTTACCACTTTTGATGTCTGTTTGGGGTCATTGTCCTGTTGGAATACCCAACTGCGCCCAAGACCCAACCTTCGTGCTGATGATTTTAGTTTATGTTGAAGAATGTGAAGGTAATCCTCCTTCTTCATTGTCCCATTTACTCTCTGTAAATGCTATGGTTCTTCAGCTATTACAAATGGTTCTTTAAAGAACAAAAGTTTCTTCATCCTTAGCTATCTAAGTTTGATGGTGTAAATGGCATAAATATTTAGGTAGGGGTACGGGGGGGGGGGGGGCACACACACACACACCCCTAACCCCGCAAACCCATTATGAATATGGTGAGTTAACAAACAGTAGACACAATACACACATTCAAATACTGTACTTTAGTTTTAAATTTTAATAAGGTATTACTATTTTCTACTCCAAGGCATTACTTTTGAGATTATTATATATTTTTGAAAATATAGCAAAGATAACAATCAGAATAACTGTGTACTGTTTGTGTCTCATGATGATCTCAGCACCAAACTGAGTGGCCTGACTGTGAATCTGGGCCGTCAGCGTCTAAGACAGTGACACAGATCATCATCCATCCAAACTACAACTCTGATACCAATGACAACGACATCTGCCTCCTGCAGCTCTCCTCACCGGTGGCTTTCACCAACTACGTTTCTCCCGTCTGCCTGGCAGCTTCAAGCAGCACCTTCTACAGCGGTGTTAACAGCTGGGTCACCGGCTGGGCCGATATAGGGAGTGGAGGTCATAAAAACATCTGACTGTTTCAGAGAAATTTGACTATAATGCAGGAAACAAGTGTGCTGTCTCAGAAATATTTAGAGCAATAAAATGTTTCCATGAGGTTAAATCTGTCGAGAGTTCAAAACAAGAAAGAATCATTATGTGAATTAACCAGTCTGGAAGTGCTGAATCTGCACCGAGTCACAAAGATCCCTGGTTGAAAGAAAGTATACTTTCTGTGTAGCTGACACTGCCCCCAAGTGGTATTAGACAGTACTACATGTTGACGTCCATCTAATGTCTGTGTGAAGTTACGTTTATTTTTTTAGCACGTTTAAAACCAGCAGCTGTTGTGCTTCTTCTAAAACAATGAGGTGAAGTGAGGTCATTACACTACACAAGTTAACCAGGCGACTGTGTTCTGCAGGGAGCTATAAACCCAGCAGACAAACACATGTCTCCATCTTTGCACACATGACTGCACTTTACATTTGGTGGAGCCATCATTTTGCTTGAAGGTGCATTTAATCCCTCACATCATTTATTACAAACTGATATATTTATTTTACCCCTTCAGTGTCCCTTCCTTCTCTACAAAACCTCATGGAGGTGGAGGTTCCTGTTGTAGGAAACAGACAGTGTAACTGTGACTATGGAGTGGGAAACATCACTGACAACATGATCTGTGCCGGGCTACATACAGGAGGAAAGGACTCCTGTCAGGTGATCGCTGTTTCCTGTGTTTGGCACATTTTCACCTTCTACAGTTTCCTCTCCTCAGCTTTGCTCTCAAAGGAGGATTCAGGAGGTCCAACGGTGAGCAAGCAGAACGGTCGCTGGATTCAGGCGGGAATCGTCAGTTTTGGGGAAGGTTGTGCTGAGCCGAATTTTCCAGGAGTCTACACCAGAGTGTCCCAGTACCAGACCTGCATCAACAGCCAGATTTCCTCCAACCAGCTGGGCTTCATGACGTTCACGTCCACTGGGACCAACAGTGACCTCAATGTCACCTGCCCGAATAGCAGCGAGGGTCGTCCTGCTCACTCCTTCATCTTTGTCTTCTTCCATCTCCTCAGCCTCGCCTTTTGTCTCTGCTGACCAGCAGGGGGCTCCTCTGGATGCAAACAGCAGTCAGATCACTTATTGCTTATTCACACACAGCCACTGTGTGCAAACTCAGCTGTAACTTTAGAGAGAGATAAAACAGGGTTTTTTTAATTCAACAAAGTGCCACAAACACCCTGACTGAAGGCTCACCTTTAACTGTGTTATGATTTGGATTCAACTTTATTGTCCTTACACATGTATAAACACAGGGTAACGAAATACAGTTTGCATCTAATCAGAAGTGCAAGAGCAGTAAGTGCAATAGGAGCAGATTATATACAGATAAGGGTAGCATAAAAGGTGGGAATAGCTGTGAACACATTACGTACAAATAAGTCAAGTATACAGATGTTTATGTTACTGTACAGAGAGCAAAGATACAGATATACACAGATGTTCTGTTTATACATATGCACAGATATACAGATGATCTGTATTGCTGTACAGATGGGCAGATATACAGGTGTACTATGAACAAATATACAGATGTGCTACATATATACAGATGTAGCAGTGTGAGGTAAACAGATCTACAGTAGTGGAAGCGTAGCGCTCTGAACAGACTATAATAGTGAACAGTGTACGCACTTTAACAGAGACCATACTATGTGTCACGGGATGGACTGGACAGGTTTAACCAGTGTTTTTAATCATCTTGCTTGGGTTGCTGTGTTTCATCATTTTTGATCTTTTGATAACATACAGTGTTTTTTATGGTTTTATTGCATGTTTGTATAGAGATTGACAGACCACGTGACTTTCGCACATTGCATGTTGGGTACTCGTGGCAAAACAATCAAAGCAATGCATCAAACGCAAGCATTTGCTGCACCGCAAAACGTTCATTCTCCGGTTCCAATACCTTCTTGCTTTTTCTTTGCCCCCCAAAAAAGGAGTGTACAAAACGAAGGAGAACAATGCCGGACCGCACAAAGACAGACTTGATGAAAAGTCAAAGAAAAGATACGAGGAAAAAATCAAAGGAGTGAAAGGGTCAGACCCGTACGAGCGCACAGAGTGGACAAAACATGTGCTGCCCAACTTTCACCACGCTCAGATTTATAATCATACGGTTCTTGGAGTGAGCGCATACACTCATGAAGTTTAGTAACTTCAGGTCACTGCAACAAGCCCAGGTACAGTTTACCGACGGATGGGTGCAGGACCTTGAAATGCACCGAACGAAAGACCATCGTACGAACAATGTGTTCATCCATCTCTCTGCATTCAATTATTAGTTATTATTAATCTCCGACTCTCTTCCACAGCCTGTCTTCGTCTGTCTTCCTCCCCTCATTCACAGCAGATGGCCCCGCCCCTCCCTGAGCCCGCTTCTCCCAGGGGTTTCTTCCTATTAAAAGGGAGTTTTTCCTTCCTACTTTCTCCAAGTACTAGCTGAAAGGGGGTCATGTGATTGTTGGGGATTCTCTGTAATATTGTAGGGTTTATGTCTTACAATAATAAGTGTTGTTACTCACTGGTAGATCCAGTTTGGTGTCAGACATGGAAGCATTGTTCCAGGAAACAAATATTTATGTGAATGTTTCCTGGAGTACAGCATCTATTACATAATGTTACCATTAGATTTAGATTTAGATAGAACTTTATTAATCCCTCGGGTGGGTTCCTCTGGGAAATTCGATTTCCAAAAAAGCACAGCACCGACAGAAGTTACAGAGTTACAGAATATTATATATATATATATAATACACACACACACATATATAAATACAGAGACAAATATAAATAAAATATACAAAGGGGATAAATAGAATAAATAGGAATAAAAATAAAAATACAAGTGAATTGCACATTTCAAGTATTGAGTCTATTGCACTGTTGACTATTTACAAAAGTATTGCACAAGGTATTGTACAGTGAGGTGAAGAGGCACTACAGCTTAGTTGTTCCCCCCTCCTTTGTCCTCCTGTTTCCCCTCCCTCTCCCCTCCAGAGAGGAGTTAAACAGTTTGATGGCGTGTGGGACAAAGGAGTTTTTAAGTCTGTTAGTTCTTGTCTTTGGGAGAAGCAACCTGTCACTGAACAGACTCTTCTGGTTGTTAATGGCCGTGTGCAGAGGATGCCCAGCATTGTTCATAATGTCCAGCAGTTTCTTTAATGTCCTTTTCTCTGCCACTGTCACCAGAGTGTCCAGCATTACAGTGTTTCATGAGAACCAGTGTCCAAAACAACCCCGCGCACACACACACACACACACACACACACACACACACGCACACACACACACACACACACGCACACACACACACGCACACACACACACCACACACACGCACACACACACCCACACAGACACACACACGCACAGACACACACGCACACACACGCACGCACACCCACACACACGCACACACACACACACACACACACACACACACACACACACACACACACACACACACACACACACATACTTTTTGTACAATGCTTAGTCTTTTGCACTGTTGTGAGTCTGCATCGTTCTGTCGTAGCACCACAGTCTTGGAGGAACGTTGTCTCCTTTCACTGTGTACTGTACCTCTGCACATGGCTGCAATGACAATAAAGCCACCTGACTTGGAGCAGGAAACATGTGGGCACTGTACTGAATACATAAGATGAAGGTGTGATGAATGCAAACGCCTCACATCAATCTTGGTTGACGACTTCTGTGGTTCCCTCACAGGTGTCAGATTTCAACAGTGTTATAGTTCACCACAAGGTGGGTCCAGTGAGTAAGCTGCCAGTACGCCCTGTACTGAGATCAGAGTGAAACTGTCAAATCTGAAGCCCTGATCGTTTTTAATGAGTAAGAATTTCACTGAAAGTGTAAAAATGCATCAGCTGATAGACAGCAGACTTTATCTGCCTTCATTCAGATCAAACCACAAATCATGGCCGAGCTGACCGAGCAAGCCCAAAAGTGTGTGCTGTGTTAAGGTCAGGGAGGAGGGTGGGTGAGACTTGAGCTCCATTTATAGAGAGAGAAAGAGTCCATGTGAGCTCACACATGTGCCACCACATACTGCCGGCACAGTGGGACGAACATCGTGAGAGTTTGAACGTTCTCCTGTCGGGAAGAGGAGGAGCAGAGCAGAAGTGTGAAACAGATCAACTGCAGGTGGAGAGCAGCTTGTAAAGTAAGTCATTCTAAGGTGTGTTTTCACCTCACGCTGCCACGTGCAGTGGAGGTCGTGCTTGATGAATGTGGACCACGTCTTTGTTTGTAACTATTAATATTGTTCAGTCGTTCCCACGTGTCCTCTCTGTGTCCGCATTTTAAAACTGCTGACAGTAAAGAGATTTTTGTTGGCCAATCAGAAAGGTCTTTGAAACATGAAAGCAGGCTAACAGCATTAAAAGAAACATAGTGATCAGAAACATCACATCGAGTGGAGACCACAGTGGACACAGCACCAAGTTACTCATTCATTTCCAAAAGCATGGCAGTTATTTAATGCTGGGCTCGTCTTACTGACCACTCAAGGTCCTTTAAGTACCACGCTAACCAGTGTACAAGCTAGAGTACTTCACAGGCACACTGGGACCATGCAAACCCCACGCAGACAGGCTGCCAGGAATCGTCTTCATGTGAGGAAACAATTCAAACAACGCACCACCGTTCTGCCACGTCACATCTAGTTAGCTTATTTTTGCTCTTTTCCAGTCACGCAGTCTAATTCTTGCACATTAAAGTAGCTCTGCAGGTCATCATCTGTCTGAAAAATGCTGTTTTAGCCCTTCGTCTCTTTTAAGGACCCCTTTCTTCTGATTGGCTGCCCCTCAAAAACATAAGGTTTGAACAGCAGTGTGCTAATATGACCACATCAGGGATATGCCCACACTGTGACTTCATAAAGATCTGATCTCTTATTTGCAGATGTTGACACATGGACAGACCTACATCATTACTGGCACTGTTGTCAGGGTTAACGTTAGTCCCAGGGTCAGTCTCTATGAAGTTAAAGTCAGAGCAATGCCCTCTAACGTGATGACACCCGATAGCTCCTACTGTGGGTCATATGAGGTCAAACTCCTCCTCCTTCCTACCCCCTCAATAATTCCTTTTGTGACAGCTCTAAGGTGAAGCTCCACCTGCTTTTTTTAAATAATAACATAAATATAGTGACCCTCAAACAGGAAAGCATCCTCGCACGTCCTCACTACCACGTGGAACTGACCACCACCAACAGCTCGCACACTGCAGAACTCCCAGTTTGTTTAGTGCTTGATGTTTCAGGCCCACGTGCTCGTCATCACCTGTCACAGGTCACAGGACCATGACCAACAGCAGGAATAACCAATGAAAACAACATCTTATGAAGCACAAACAGCTGAGAAAGCTACAAGTAATACACATCGCCTTGAAATGAGGAAAAAAGACAAAAGGAAATAAGAGTAATTAAATGCAGTCACTGGTGGTGGTCACGTGACCTATATTTAAGCTAGCGCTGTCCTGTGTTTCATTGGCTGATGAAGAGCACAAACTGCAGCTCTGCAGTGTGAAAGGAGTTTATTGTTTCCACACTGACGATGGTGCACAGGAGTCCAGATGGAGGCGGGACGACTTGTAACTAGTGACTGACTCATAATCAAGATTCCTCACGGTTTAAAAAGGTAACACGACAAGACTTCACCAAACAAAGGGCGATGTCGCGCCAAGTCGCGCTGGGTGTCTCACGTTCAGCTGTAATTCATGCAAAGCTACTCTTATAGCTTTGCATGAATCAAGTCCAACAAAGAGCATTGCAAGAACTCCACAAGTTTAGGTTCATGTATATGTAACAGATGTGTTCCTGCGTTGTGTCTGACACTGACAAAGAAACGTAAAACAAACAAAGACCTCCAAGTAAATAACTTGCCCACTTGTAATCTATTACATATAGACTCTGGGTTAATGACTTGTTTGGCCAGAGAAGTTGATTTAAGCAGTGATCTGAAAAAGTCCAGTGCTGTGTTTGGGGACACTGTGCAGGAGAGACAGGGAATCACACTCACGTCTTCCCTGTATCTCCAGCCGTCATGGCTCCCAGCTTGTCACAGGCATACAGGAGGAGGTGGTGGATGGCCATCACAGCCATCGTAGAGAACCTGCTGTTCTCTGCTGTGCTGCTGGGCTGGGCCTCGCTGCTCATCATGCTGAAGAAGGAAGGCTTCTATTCTCACCTTTGCCCTGGTAAGACCGCTGTAAAATGACGTCTGTTTCATTAAAAGAAACAATGCACTGCAGGAATCATCCACAAGCAGGCGCCTCTTTCACTTTAGCCTTGCAGTATTTAACCTTGCTAGAAATGAGGATATTGTGGCACGAGGTGCTTTCGGTAGCTGAAGCAGTTTCTCGGGGTCTTTATTTGGTCGTCCTGATTTGCTTCTTCTATGACCCGTCCCAGGAAACGAGACTGCGGACACGAATGCGACTTTCATGCAGGGCAACGATTGGAAGAGTTGTGTGGAACAAGAGGAGATACTGAATCTCGGCTTCACCATCGGATCCTTCCTCTTGAGCGCAGCCACATTACCCCTGGGGATCTTGATGGACAAATATGGGCCACGACCACTGAGACTCATTGGCAGGTATGACAGCTAAATGAACCAATCAAAGACACTTTAAACTTTAGTTCATGTTCTGAGTGAAAAGGTTTGAGGGCTGATTGCATCATCACGTGTGAGTTTAACTGTTGGGCTGAGCAGCTTGGCAGGGATGCCTGATTTAGTGTCAAATAGAGTGAAATGTGAGGTACTCAGACGTCTGTGTCTTTATGTATTTCAGTTCATGTTTCGCAGCCTCCTGCGCCATAATAGCTGCTGCTGCGTATGACCCTGAAGGTGAGGAAACACGTCAGCACACACAAAGGCAAACTCTAGCAGAGACATATTTGTAGTTTTAGTATGCCACCCTCCCTCCTCATTATGATATAACACTGCCACATGTTTACAACGTCCACCTCTGGTCAGGGAAAGTAGACAGGAAGTGACACTTGGTTTCATCACAGCTGAAGGTATTTCTCGTTTGGTCCATCAGTCCTGTCGGGCCTCATCTTCCTGGCTGTGTCCTTGAATGGTTTTGGAGGAATCTGCCTGACCTTCACTTCACTCACAGTACGATTTCCACTCACACACGCACACACACACACACAGACACACAGACACACTCATACACACACACTCACTCACACACACTCATACACACACACTCATACACACACAGATACACACACAGATACACACACACTCATACACACACACTCACTCACACACAGATACACACACAGATACACACACACTCATACACACACACACAGATACACACACAGACACACTCACACACACGCACTCATACACACAGACACACTCACACACACACACTCATACACACACACTCACACACACAGACACACACACTCACACACACACAGATACACACACAGACACACACACACTCATACACACAGACACACACACTCACACACACTCATACACACAGACACACACACTCACACACACACAGATACACACACACACTCACACACACTCATACACACAGACACACACACTCACACACACTCATACACACAGACACACACACTCACACACACACAGATACACACACAGACACACACACACACATACACACACAGATACACACTCACACACACACTCACAGACACAGACACACTCATACACACAGACACACTCACACACACACACACAGACACACACATACACACACAGATACACTCATACACACAGACTCACTGACAGTCACACACTCATACACACAGACACACACACTCACACTGCCTTTTCTGGCATTTCAAACCTCTGGGGATGAGTAAGTTACCATCAGTGACAACCAAACACGACCTTTCAGGGGAACTAATTTGACGTTCAGTTTGTGTCACGTGCCTCTCAGTGTTGTTCACAGTGTTGTGAGTGGACATACTGTACAAAGAGTGATGCAGTCGCTGTGCTGGTCTGTGTGGTAGAGAGAGAGATGAGTATGAACGCACAGCTGCTGATTTCACAGAACACAAACATAAGGCTTTGTGTTTATGTTGATGTGTTGATGAAGTGCCTTGCATCTGCATTCTATCTTGCAACCACCAGATGGCGATAGCTGCGACTGCAGAAGTCTATGGTAAATGGCATATTCAGTTTTTTGCAGCCGGAATGGAGGCACCAGAAACATTTATCACGAGGGGTCAATCGAGTTAAAGTCAGTTATAACAAGTTCACTCAGCAGTGATGGGAAGCAGAGACTTGCACATGGAACAAAGTTCGCAGTATGATGCAATATATACACTGCTGGGCATCAGACTGCCCCATATCCCTACGTTTCCATCTGCCCCAGGTCCAAACTCCAACCACCTGTCCACACAGTCAGATGCAGAACATACTTAGAGTGTGTGTGTTTTCAAAAACTTGTTCTAAATTCAGCAGCAGTCCTTCAACCAATCACAAAGCTGGCTGGTCAACACACCCTCCCACGCCCCTGTCAGCCCCTCACTCCATTGGTCTCTCTCCTACAGACCTAAAATAACATGAGCCTGAGTGGGTGTGTGTAGGTGAGTGTATTGTTTGTTAAGGGTTCAGGTCAGGTGGGGCAACAAGCCGATATCTTAGGGTTAAAAACAGTGTCTAAGTGAATGTTCCAAGTGTGCCCATATGGAAAAGAAATCGTAAAAACATATATGATTTACTCATGAAAGTGGCCACTTTCATGAGTAAATCATATATGTTTTTAGTAAGTATACAAAACATACAAGTTTCATTATATAATTTTTTAAGGGATCTTATATGTGTTTTCACTCTTGTATGCTTTTCATACAAGTTTCATACAAGAGAGATAATAACTTTATAAGATTTATATATATCTTTTCCATATGGGTAATGCTGGCTGAAGTTATTGAGACACAATGATGTGTGTGTGTGTGTGTGTGGGGGGGGCTCTTACATAAGTACCTGATATATATAGTCAGTAACACTTGTTTAGCTTTGATAAAGCTGCCGTATAATAACTGGTTCCCAGCTCTTCCAGCATCCACATGTCAAAGTGTCCTGTCCACAAATCCAGTGATGATGTGAGCGAGTTAGAAACAGTCAGAAACAGTCAGAAACAGCACCAGAAGACATGAAGTAACGTGCCGGGTGGCTTGCAGTAAAACACTTTGAGTGCTCAGCCAGAATAGAAAAGGAATAAATCAGACATGAAACCAAGTGTGTGCTAGTTTATGTAAAACTGAATATTCAGCAGAAATTTAAGAAACCAGCCGGCCACGATCCAGAGTGGCTGCAGCATGTTACTGTGAAACAACAATGACTCTTTTTGCATTTTCATTTTATAGATAGATAGATATGTATACCATACCATACATATACTGTATATACATATGCATATGCATCAATATTAACATTCTTGTCTAGTTATCGGATTTATGTAGCTACGGGCTTGTGCTTCATGTTAATTTGCAATGAATTAACACAAAAAGACCCACTGGTGTCATTCTGTGGAACTGACCTGCAGCTGGTGTTGTGATATTTGTGGTTGGAACTTCATGCTTATGCTTTATAAGCTGTGTGTGCACAGAGGCAACACAGCGATGGAAAAGAGGGGAGGGCTGATAAGAATGGAGAGCCAAGGCAAACCTACAACATGGGAACATAACTCTGGGAAGGCATGACTTCAGCTGAACCTGAGGCTGTAGACAGACAAATAAAACCCAGTGATATTTACACTGGGGCAAATGAGGGCAATGTACAAACAAAGAAACTGACGGCCTGTTGCATGCTATAGCTGAATTCTCCGATATTATCGGTTTCATTTCATTTCATTTATGTAAACAAAGAGTGTTTCTCATGACACCTTCAGCGTGAACACTTGTGACACCATAGTTACAACCCCAATTCAAAAAAGAAGTTAAGACGCAACGTAAATAAAACAGAACTCAATGGTTTGTAACTCTGACAAAGCCATGTTTTGTTTCCACAGTATAACATAAAAATGATTTTAAATATTTAAACTGAGACATTGTATCATTTGATTTTAAAAAAATGGCTTGTTTTGATTAATGGGAGCAACAAAAGGCCAAAAAGGTAAACGATACTAAAAAGAAACAGTTAGAGGAAAACACGGTGACTGTACTGCTCTCTCTATGTGTTGAACTCCCTGAGCGTGAACAGCCAGCCAAACTCAAGACCCAGGGAGGTGAGCGTACTTGCTCCTCAAACATAGTGTTGAACTGACATCATTGAACTGGAGTGAAACTAGAAACACATAAAACTAAACTCTTAATGATTGTCATACAATCAGCAGGTAAGTGTATTTAGCCACTAACATAGGAGACTTCAAGATAAGCATCCTGTAGATATACAATCTGATATTAATACAAAGAACAATAAGCAGGTAGTGGGCAAGTGTACACTTGTATCATTAGCTCAGAAGCTACGACCTACAACTACTGCACTTCAAGGAAGGTACAAAATAATGTCTCAAACACCCCATTACTAATTGTCTAATATACAAAGAACTGACTGAACTTACTTTTGCTTTCTGAAGGAGTATTTTGGATTCAACTCAAAAGATTTCAAAGGTGTAGCCATGCTTTCCCCACTGTTCCTGTCTATGCACATGTCAAAATAAAAGCTTCACAAATTTCTGATGTATAACAATAGAAATACAATTTCCTCTTATTTGTCTCATTAGCATGTGAACATAGTCAAAACAGAACAGTGACTCGTCAGGTTAACTGACCACAGGTCAGTAACAGAAGTGAAAAATAGATAAATAACCCCGCATCTAGAAACTGTTCAGATATCTCAGAATAATGTCCGTCAGTGTGAAACTGTGAAGACTGTGTCATCGTAAACTGTACGTGATAGCAAAGGATTCTGAGAATGTGGAGAAACCTCCGAGCACAACCATCGAACCTGGAACTGATGGATGTGTGTGCGTTAAGAACAGGCACGATGGTGCCGTTGAATCAGGGACTGGGCTCAGAAACACCTCCAGTAGTGATGGTCTGTGAACACAAGTGCAGCTTCTGTTGTTCTTCGAATGAAGGTGTGTGAGAAATGAAGGTGTGTTATTCATATCTGTGATACAAATATGTAACACACACAGCAGCTGCTTATGACCACTGCTGCTACAACAGTGTAAGTGTAAAGATCAGAGCAGGACAGCGCTGATCCACAGGAAACGACACGAGCAGAGCCTTTGAGACAAAACAGAGACGCTTCTTCTTCATACTGTCATAGTCAATATACACCACGTTCCAAATTATTATGCAAATAGTGTTTAAGTGTTATAAAGATTAAATAAGTTGTTTTTCAATTAAACCCGTGGATTGGATTGTGTCTCAGGACTCTTTGTATCACTGAAATCAATCTCGGACACCTGTGATCAGTTGTTTGCAAGGTGAGCCCAATTAAAGGAAAAACTACTAAAGGAGGATGTTCCACATTATTAAGCAGGCCTCCATTTTCAAGCAATTTAGGAAGGAAAAATGATCTCTGCTGAAAAGCGTGAAATAGTTGACCGCCTTGGACACGTAATGAAAACCTCAGATATTTCACGAAAATTTACGTGTGATCACCATAATGTTAAGAGATTTGTGGCTGAGTCAGAGCACACATGGGTTCGTGCAGATAAAGGCACAATGATGAAGGTTTCTGCCAGAGAGCAGCTGCTAAAAGGCCATTACAAAGCTGCAAACAGACATTTCAAGCTGCTGGTGCCTCTGGAGCACTGCGAACGTCAAGCTGTAGGATCCTCCAGAGACCGGCAGCTGTGCATAAACCTTCTATTCAGCCACCCCTAACCAATGCTCACAAGCAGAAACGGCTGCAGTGGGCCCAGAACCACATGAAGACTAATTTTCAAACAGTCTTGGTCACTGATGAGTGCAGCGCCACCCTGGATGGTCCAGATGGATGCAGAGGTGGATGGCTGGCTGCGTCGTCAGCTAAAAGGTAGTGGAGTCGTTTTTGAGCTGGAATCACGGGGAGAGTTTCAGACTGACCACTTTCTTCCTGGTACAAAAAGAAGAACTGTGCTTTCTGCAACACAACCATCTTCATGCAAGACAATGCACCATCTCATGCTACGAGGCACACCTCTGCATCTTTGGCTGCTATCAGCATAAAAGGTGAGGAACCCATTCTTCCCTGACCTCAATCCTACTGAGAACCTTTGGAGCATCCTCAGGTAAAAGAATATGAGGGTGGGAGGCCGTTCACATCCAAACAGCAGCTCTGAGAGGCTATTCTGACATCCTGCAAAGACATTCAAGCAGAAGCTTTCCAAAAACAAGTTCCATGGATGCAAGAATTGTAAAACTGCTATCAAATAAGGGGTCCTGTGTTATTGTGTGACTTGACCTGTTAAGATGTTTTTGATTGAAATAACTTTTGATGTCAGTGAAATTGATCTACTAATGCTGCAAATTCAACAAATGACCATTTTCAATTCTCTACAACCTATAAAATCCTTTGAAACTCTGTGTGCGTAATCATTTGGAAGGCGCTGTAGTAACTTAACACAGGACGTGTTGATTAAAGTCTCTCCTGACATGCACTGTGCAGCTTGTTAAAATAAGATGATGTTAGTCAGTAGAAAAGCAAAAGGATGAGCCTTTGGCTGGATCCAAGCTCACCCCAGAGTGCAGAGTTATAGATAGAGTGAACTCTGAGTAAATGCAGTCATGACTAAAATTATGAACGGCTGTGTGGATTTGACACCAGCTTTCCAATGCTTCAAAACGACAACTGAAACCATATTACAGCCCAGTGCATGCTGTCACGGTGGCTCTGTCTTACAGAGCTGTACAGTTTACACCCAAACCACCAACTGAACATCTTCCTGTAGAGAAAAAATATTTTCACATTTCCACTTCATGTATCCCTCCACTCTCTGACTCTTACACTAATTTGTTGTTTAAGCAACACTTAATGAATGAATGTAACTACAGAGTTACAGTGTAGCCGCTTGGCTACATAAGTAACGTTTGAATAAATTAAGACAAATGATGTATTAAATGTAATCCTCCAAATATATGAAACTGATGCAAGTTTCAACTGAGTATTACAGCCTGTAGTGTAACTGAGCCACATTCATGAGGCGGCACTGTTCCACGTGTGTCTATACTTAGAGTGACACACACGTGTGCACACACACACTCGCACACCCAAACACACACACGTCTGGTTTGCTCTCCTCGTGGGGACCTGGATTTTGGTCCCCACCAGTATAGTAAGAACCCATAGACACACACACATACACACACGGCACGACTTTTTTCCCCTGTGTTTGTACAAAGCTTTTAAGAGCGCCACCTGCTGGTCACTTATTAAAATGTACAACTGTAGAGAAAATGTTGAAAGCTCTGAAGCTTTTGTCCTTGGACAGAAACTGAGATTTGCTCCGTGTGACAGCACGATCGTTTCTCTCTCTCATCTAGCTGCCGAACATGTTTGGGAACATTCGATCAACCATCCTCTCCCTGATGATTGGCTCCTATGCTTCTTCAGCTGTCACCTTCCCCGGTGTCAAGGTACAGACACACACTCACACACCTCGTTGAAAGGTGGAAAACCTTTCTTGGCTGAAAGCTAAAAGATATTGCTTGTTAAACTGTAGCAGAAGGGTTGTAAACTGTAGGGAACATGAAAGAAAGCAAAGGGGGCAGAAGGACCAAAAAGCTGATGACAGAGAGTACAGTGGACAGGAAACAGGAAGAAGAATAAACAAGAGACAACACTGGGCGGAAATAAAAGGGAGGATACTGCCGTGAGATTTCACATTAACAGTAACTAAAGGTCAAGTTTGCAGCATCATGCACACGTTTTACCTTTCCTTTATTCACCTCAACCCTGAAATCTCTTCCCTCATGCTTCTCTGTCCTACTCCTCCTCCTCCTCTCCAGGTGATTTATGACCTTGGCGTCTCTTTCCGGGTCATCATGTGGGTCTGGGCTGGAATGGCGTGCACTGTGATCCTAAACTGCTTCCTGAACTGGCCCACTGAATCTTTCCCTGCACCCGAAGACATCAGATACACGTCAGTTTTAACAGAATAGACGAATTAACACTGGAAACTGTGTCAGACGTTTAAAAGTAGAACACAAGTCTCATGATGAGACAGTTGTGATCAGTATGATTGCTCCTACAGAGCGTAGTGATCATATCTGAACTGTAAGATAAGATAAGACTTTATTGATCCCACAACGGGGAAGTTTTTGCGTCACCTCAGCTCAGGTACAGATATCAGAAGGAAATACAAAAATACAAATAAGTACAATCAATGAAAAAAGTAAGATAACACACTACATACAACGGTAGCATACACAGTATGTGACTATGGATATGGTTGGAAATATGGAAGACATCAACTATATAGCTTGACATAACTATTGTACCACTACTATTCCTATTTATAGACATGTACACCTTAAATATGCATATGTATACATATACATGCATATACACCTGCACATGTCCGTACACATGGAAGGTCCATTATGCATGAAGTGGTGAGCGTGGATGCTCCCTGGATTCCCACAGCGGTACCAGTTTGGGGTGATTCCATTCTCCCTGAGAGATTTCTCCAGGGACGACACAAAAACCTGAGTGCAGGATGCAGAACTGAGAGCGCTGAGAGTCGACTAAAGCTCACAATGGAAAGAGACATGAACAAAACACAGAGAACAGAAGAGTGACAACAACACCTGGGACAGCTGTGCACAGGCTGCTCAGAGGACAGAGTCATTGCAGTCGGTTAGGCTATAAATCACTGCCTTCAGACTAATATAGATATTGACGAGGGAATCGCTCCTCATGTTGTGACTTCATGTTACCCACTCATGTCAGCTGTCACGAGGCTTCATGATGAACCTTTCCCATGTGTTCTGAGTTTTACAGATTCAGTAACGTCAGCTGTGGTTTCGGGCACGTTTTATGAGTATCTCCAAAAGTCTTCAACTTAAAACATCTTTGAGATAGTGGGAATTGCACATTATGACTCTTCCCATTACATTCTGTGTGTTTTTTTCCTCTTAACAGTAAAAGGGTGAAGATAAGTGGGGTTGTGACAGAGGACAGCGTGACCGGGGACAGGAATATCACCCACATGACTGCAATGGAAGACACAATGGGATCCAGACAGACAGTACCTGAGCACACAGACCCCCACAGCACAGCCCAAGGTATTTGTTTTGTTATTTTGGCTTTAGTTTAAGTTGAGCTTGCTGCCAACACTCTCAGTGATTTTATTCTCAAAAAAATCAAGCTCCCATCGTCCGAGCGGTCATCTATGGCTCCCTTGCCTTTGATGAGGGTTAAGTGTTGCCCCGAGTCCAGAAAAACACCGTCAGGGTCTTGTTCACGAGGGGAGAGTCGACCAGTGGTTGACAGACCAGTGGTCCAGCATCTGCAGTGATGAAAGTGATGGGAAAATGGTAACTGGCCTGCATTAGTATAGTGCTTTACTCAGTCCCTGAGGACCCCAAAGCACTTTACCCTACATTCACACACTGGTGATGGCAAGCCACACCTGCCGGACACTGGCGCCACCGGGCCCTCTGACCACCACCAGTAGGCCAACATGGGGTTAGTATCTTGCCCAATGATATTTGGCATACAGCCAGGTGGGAGCCTGGGATTGAACCACCGACCTTCTGATTAGTGGCTGACCTGCTCTGCCATCGGAGCTACAGCCACCCCTGGGCTTTCTAGTCTTTAAAGACTTGTGTGCACTGTAAACTACCATGAACAGCAAAATGAACTGTGTGAGAATCTGCGATGGACCTGAACTCTCAGTGAACTGAAAGAGTTTTGGCTGGAACCTGCACGGCTCTGAGGTCTGTATCTGCTGAACCAAAAGCTAAATGTACATTCATACATTTTCTCTCTTTGTCTCCTTCTTCAGCGTCTGTGCCGCTCTGTCATTCTGTGTGTTCTCCCATATTCCTGTGGAGTGTTATCACCATGGCGATGACACAGCTGAGGCTCATCTTCTTCATGGGTGCTATGAATAAGATGATGGAGTTCCTAGTCACCCACGGCGACCCCAACCGTAAGAATAATGGTCCATTTTCTATTTTTTAAATCTAAATGCTCCATGGTTTATTTCATTGGCCCTGCGACAGACTGGCGACCTGTCCAGGGTGTACCCCGCCTCTCGCCCCATGACAGCTGGGATAGGCTCCAGTTTTGGTATTCCTTATGTGGTTTTTAAAAAAACTCTATATCAAGTGTTTAGTGTTCTGCTGGGTGAAAGTTAAGGTTATGGCACAGAATTCACATCATTTTTATTCTCATCAAACCATTTAGTAAACCCTCTCACCACATGAATGCAGGCAATCTGGAAAAGACTGCTTTACCATAGTTTCACCGTAGCATAAAGGCAATCACTCAGATCTGCAATGAGCTTCCTTGTAAGGTGCACATTGGAGCCAAATCATCAAATCAAAGGGAACATGGTTTCAGCGTTTCTTTTATTTGTCACTTGTTTATAGGGCCAAAGTGAGTGTGCGGCTAATGAGAATAATTGCTGTTAACCCGTCTCTGGTAATCCCTGACCTGCTGCTGTCTCTTTCAGCCTCTGAGGAGCTACAGAAGGAGGTGGAAAAACAAGGTATAAACCAAAACACTCAGTTCTAATGGTGCACACACATGACTGCTGTCCACTGAGACTCGACCCAGGACCAAGACCTGTTTGGGTCCTGACTTAAGATTCAGATTGGTTTTACTCTGTGGAAGGAACATGTTAGACTTACAATTTCAAACGACTTCAAGAAAGCACCTTGAACAGTGAGTTACTCAGATTTCATGGGAACTTCGTGATTCATTTTCTAGAGATCAACCAAATGCAATTTTCTTGGCCAATTCAAAATTGCAGCTGTTTTGTAAAAGGCCAATACCTGCTTTGATCGGCTCTGAGCTCTTGTTCTATGACTAGATGCAAGTGTAACACACCCAAAGAAAGATTCTAGGTCTGACCAACCGTCTCAGTCGTGGGCAAAAAGATGACAGTCAATAAAATTCTAAAAGATACTTTATTGACAAAAAATATCAAGAGATAAAAGATAAAACAGTCCAGTGTCCCATTTATGAATCAAATAAAAACACACAGTCCCAAGGCCAGAGCCAGCTATGCCACACGGCCAGTTACACTCCACGTGTTGCCTGTAACAGGGTTAGAAGTTGTCCTTGGAGACCCACCACCCTGCAAGCATATAGCCAGTGGTCACTCCAGCCTCTGCAACTCTGCTACCTTTAGGCTGTGGCATATAATAGGCCCTGGCCTGCACAGAGAGACAAAACTACACTTTCACTATAGAATTCATAGGACAAAACCCATCCATCCCAAACATATCTGATTTCATCACAGTACATACCTGCACAGAGAGACAAAACGACACAGTGTTTGTAGTGTGGGCTATAAGTAGACCAGTGTATCAGTGCAATCAAGTACACCTGCCTCTAATTAGTCCAACCCCATTCCAGCCATTGGCTCACCAAAAATGTGACACACACACAAAACCACTCCCAACCCAGTGCAACTTCACACAATAATATGGAGCTGAATTAACACAGGTACATTAGTCTACCATGTTACACCCCTCCCTGCTGAAATGGTCATTGTCCCAATGACCATGTAATCTATTAATATTAGTCTCCAAATCTCTGTGGAGGCAGTCCTTTGGTTGTTCTTGTTGACCGTCTGGGTTCTTGATGAATGAGTCCTGTCTCGATGCCTTCAGCCTCGAGAGGGATTTCTGTAGGAAGCCAAAACCCGACCCAGGGTGGAGCAGCTGGAGATCTACCAGTGTGTGGCCATGCATTTCCAGTTTTTAAATCTTCCTGCCTGGCTGTCTCCACCTCACTCCTAGAGTTCTGCATATCTTGTTGCATAGGTAGCAAACAAGGTCTCATTAAGTTATGATGCATCACTTTCTCAACATTTCCCCCTTCTTGTCTAATTACATACACCGGCAAATCAGGATCTGCTTGTTTTATGACAACATAAGGTCGCTGCTCCCACCTATCTGCCAACTTACCTCGGCCCCTTGCTCTCAAGTCCTGTAGCAATACTCTCTCTCCAGGCAGCAATGGAAGAGCATCTGCTTTCAGGTCATGATATTTCTTTTGCCGGGACATTTCAGAATCTCTATGGTCTTGAGCTTTTCGGAAGGCATACTGCAGCCGTCTCTGATGGCATTGCACCCAGTTGCTTACAGAAGAACAGCCCACATTTTCAGTAAGGCCATCAGCCGATCCTGGGGAAGAAATCCATGCCTTCCAAACATCAAATAATGTGGTGAATATCCTGTAGAACTGTGCACTGTATGGTTATATACCTGGATCATCTCAGGTAGGTGATCTCGCCAGTTTCTCCTCTCTTCACCTAATGTGCCCAGCAACCCCAGAAGAGTCCGATTAAGCCGTTCACAGGCCCCATTTCCAGCTGGGTGTTGTATGATCCTTCTTTATACCATACAATTCACACAGCTCCTGCACTAGTTGCGATTCAAAGTTAGGACCTTCATCTGACAGCAGTCGTCTCGGTGCACCAAAGGGCTGAATTACCTTGCTCCAGAGTGCTTTAGCTGTCGTCACTGCAGTCTGGTCTTTTGTAACTGCAGCCCAAGCAAATTTACTGAAGTGATCCACCATGACCAAAACATTATGATACAGATCTTCTGGACCGTTTGTGACCCGTGGTAGGTACCTATTTAAAATAGGACAGAGCCGTAGGCGCACAGTCAGTTTAAAAGAGTTTAATTTTTAATACAAAATAAAAGAAACAGTGTAACAGCAGCACCTAAAAACAATTAAAAACGTTACCTTATTAAAAACGATAAAACTGTACGATTGCCCGTGAGACAGGACAAGCGCTGCGGGGAACAGTTTAAAAACAAATCGACATAGCACACAGGTTAAAAATGGACGGCAACTCACACATGACCTCAAATGGGTAAAACACTATAGAAAAAAGGCAAATCTTCAGCGCCGTCTTCACTCGGGCCCCCCGCTGTGCATGCAAAAGCGGGGAGGCAAAAAAAGGATTTGTTTTCCCTGCAGCGCCTTCACCGCCTGCGAATCAATATCTGTGGTGCCTACTGATACAGAAAAAGTAAAACAAAAAAACAAAACCATCGACAGCCGCAGCAGTCAGTCTGTCGGCTTACACCAGTTTAAAACAAATTAAAACACACCGATGTGTCGGGTCCTTTGCCCGCAGCCAGAAATCCACCTGGCAAAGCAGCAGCTCGGTACTCTGTGAATAAAAGGCAGGCGATCACTAGCTGGACAATAAAACACAGGAATATTCCTCCACTGAATTGGTTGTGTTACCTGTCCACAAGTTCGTGTCACACCCTAATAAATGTGGGTCAGTGGCGATGAAGTCCACTATACCGTTCTCACGGGAGCAATGTTTCCCACCTACAAGGGTGCAAATAACTGTAAACCTCTGCCAACAGCCAGAGCTCAAGTGGTACATTTTTGTGTAACCTACCGTTCTAACAGAAGTTTAGGGGAGGACGCGTATCAGACTTTCATAGTTAAGAAACACCAACTTGCCCAACTCGGACCAAGCGCTCGCAGCTTCAGGTTTGCAAAGGAATACCCAATTGCCCACACCTGCGCTTATGAAAGGAGCGAAGACCAGCTCCGCCCACCAGGGGCGGTCCCAAGTCTCCAGGTCTCACCTGTCACACACCTATAGACAAAAAGTCTACAGACAACAGTTCCATGGGTGCAGATGTCTTAATGGGAATCAACGGAGCATGTTTCGCAGCAGCCGCTTTACGCAGGACACAGGCCTTACATTGGGAACACCAATTTATAACATCAGCATTTAATTTGGGCCAGAAATATCTTCTTTTAATGAGGGATATTGTTTTTTCTGGGCCCCAGTGTCCTGCATATTCATGGTACAGTTGCCATATAGAATACTTCTCACCCTCAGGAACCAAAATTTGAACTACTGGATCGACCTCCTTGGTATCATGTGATGTCCGACACAGCACTCCATCTTTTAGTGACAGTCGTTCCCAGTGCCGCAGAAGACAGAACAGGTTTAGACTCCTGTTGCCTCTCATGCTTATTTGGCTGATGGCCCCTCTGTAGATAACAGGCCACCCTTCTTAGCGTTGAGTCCTCCCCTTGCAAGGCAGACCACTGAGATGGCGTGCGTTCAGGAAACAGAGGCACACCACAGGTTACATTTTGTAAACCCTCCTGGTTAGAGTTGCTTACGCCAACACACATTGCTCTGACCACATTTACTTCAACCTGTTTAAAGGATGGAACCTCTACTTCTTCCCTTTGTCCCTCTGTAGCCTCAGTTACTACAGGTGATGGATATCTGGATAGTGCATCTGCACTCTGATTAATACGCCCTGGCCTATATTTGATCTCAAATTGAAAACTAGCCAGGCGTGCTGCCCATCTCTGCTCTAAGCTACCAAGTTTGGCTGAACTCAAATGTACCAAAGGGTTATTGTCTGTGTAAACTGTAAAGGGTACACAATACAGATATTCAGCAAATTTCTTGGTTACTGCCCAGGTCAAGGCCAGAAACTCAAGTTTGAAGGAGCTATAGTTCTTATCATTTTTCTCAGAAGGGCTCAAACTCCTACTAGCAAAAGCAATTACTTTCTCTTTTCCATCCTGAACTTGTGCAAGTACGGCTCCTAAGCCCTGGTTGCTGGCATCTGCGTACAAGATGAAAGGTAGATTAAAATCAGCAAAAGCCAACACTGGTGCAGATGTTAGAGCCATTTTTAAAGAACTAAAGGTTGTGTCACATGTAGAGTTCCATTTAGTGGACAAGGGAACATCCTTCCTCTTAGAATTTTGTGATGCTCCAACTAATATTTGATTTAATGGTTGGGCAATTCTTGCAAAATCTTTCACAAATCTCCGATAATAGCCTGCCAGACCCAGAAATGATTGTAATTGTTTCACAGTAGTTGGAATAGGCCATTCTTGAATACATTTAATCTTGTCAGGGTCTGGAGCAACCCCTTTTGCTGAAACACGATGACCCAAATACTGAACCTCTGGTTTTAGAAGACAGCACTTCTTGGGTTTTAATTTGAGGCCATGCTTTGACAGTTTACCAAGGACTGCATCCAAATGAACCAAGTGGGTGTCAAAATCTGGAGAATAGATTATTACATCATCTAAGTAGACAAGTACAGACTGTAAGTTTTCTTCACCCAGGCATACATGCATCAACCTTTGGAAGGTGGCTGGTGCATTTGACAAGCCAAAGGGCATTCTGGTGAATTCAAATAAACCCATGGGTGTAGTGAAGGCTGTTTTTTCTCTGTCTGGTGGGGACACCCCAACCTGCCAATATCCACTGGCAAGATCAAGTGTGGAAAAATACTTTGCGTTACCCAAACTGGCAAGTGACTCTTCTATTCTTGGAAGAGGGTAAGCATCTTTATGGGTCACAGCATTAGGTTTATGATAATCCACACAAAATCTAAGTGTCCCATCCTTCTTACGGACTAACACAACCGGAGAAGCCCATGGACTGCAACTAGGCACAATGATGTTAGCATCCAACATACCTTGAATAAAACTCTTCACCTCCTGATATAACTTTGGTGGAATTTGTCTATAGCGCTCACGGACTGGTGCAGCATTGCCTGTAGGAATTGAATGCTGCATGGTGCTTGTCAATCCATAATCTTCCTCATGCACAGCAAACACTGCTCGGTGCTTATGCAATAAAGCCTGCAGTTTCTCCAATTCCTCTGTGGACAAATGAAGACCAGTTAAATCAGGGAACATGCATTTATCCTTGGGCAGGGCTTGCGTTTGGTCCATACTCACTCTGTGTTTACACCAACACGAGTCATGTTCACACTATTCTCTTGTATGATATCTGCTGGGTCAATAATAAAAGTCTTAGCCAACTTCTGATGTCTATAAAGGTACATTGGTGAGTCATTAAGGTTTTGGACCCTAATCAAAAGCCTCCCATCATGGACTGTAGATAATGTTCTAGCAATTAAGACTTCACCCACCTCGACAGGTTCCACCAGGCATTGATAATCCCTGCCATCCACTCCAGTCTTCGTACGACCCCAAACCAACATCTCACTCCGAGGGGGAATCTGTATAGGATGGCGATTTATGGTACATACATACCCAATGGACCCATCTAAAGCTGCAAACCGTGCCTGACTGGCACAAATCTGAAAAGCAGTAGTCCAAGCTCTCTGTTCGGCCCCACTAGAGGAGAGGTAGGCTAATGGCTTCTCCTGATCCATTTTTTCATAACACTGAAATAACATTCATACCCAGGACGCCTTCATTGTCGGTTAAACATTGGTCCTTAATCACCAAAAAACCACATTCAGGGAGTTCCACCTGTCCAATCTTCACATGTAGCAATACATAACCCAGGTATGGAATATCTAGTCCATTAGCAGCCTCGAGCACCAGCCAGCTGCTTGCATCCTTCAATTTCATCCCATTACTGCCAAAGTGTTTAGAGAAGTAGCTGTTCTTTATCAGTGACACATTTGATCCAGTATCCAGAATACACTGTATTGGAACATCATCAAGACACAAGCTGACTTTAGGAACTTTTCCAATCAGTTTTTTCACATCAGTTTGAGGCCCATTGGCATCGACACAACCCACTGTCTGGGCCGCCACAGTGGTGTCGTCTAGTTTAACGATCCAGATCTAGGCGTGCTTTTACAGAACCGAGCTATGTGGCCTGGCTGGGAACAAGTGTTACAGATGGGGCTACCTTGTTCATCATAGCTGTTTGAGTAGACTCTGGGTCTGCTCCCTCCTTTCTTTCTTGATCTGGACTGGTCAGTCTGTTTCCAGTCCAAAGTCTTTTGTGTAGCTTGATGAAGTTCTGATCGGATTTCTTTGATCAAAGTCTGTGATAAATCATTGAATTGTGTGGTCATTTGCTTGTTCATGTCCTCCCACAACTCTGATTTGATCTGTTCCATATCCTTAGCATTACAGGTCTTGTATCTTTCACCTTTGGCAGCAAAACACTGGACTGGATCAACCATTTCACCATAAACGTGTTCCCTCAGGATTAGTTCTGCTTTAATTTCTGCAAAAGTCAACTGATCATTCATTAGAATTTTTGTTCTGAATTCACCTCTAAGGGCAGTGTCTCTCAAGCCTTCAACCAGATGATCTCTGAGAAGAATATCTTCGTCATTGATACCTCTACGGTCCTTCGTCTTTAACCTGAGAAAATGTTCTTGTAATCTCAGTGCAAATGAACTGATGTCTTCATGTGTTTCTTGGCGAGCGTTGAAGAACTGAGAGCGCAGGACCGAAGCAGTTGTTTTATCCCCATACAACTTCTCTAACTCATTAAAAATTAGCTCAGATGAATTACGCTTCTCTGGTGCTAGAATTAAAATCTCTCTTTTAGCCTTGCCTTCTAAGTAACAGAGTGTTAATTCTGCTCTAAAATCTACAGGAACTCCTTGCAAAGCAAATGTTGTCTGCAAATTACTTTTCCATTCACCTAGACTAATATCTGAATCCTTCCCTCTAAATTTAGTTGTGAGCATATTAAACATAGGGATCATACCAAAGGGCCTAAACCCTGCACTAGAAACTGGTGCTTCTCTATTTGGGCCAGACTGTAATTCACTCTGATCAGTCATCTTGCTTTTGCCCACTACAGATTATGGTAGCCAGATCCTGTCGACAACGCCAGTTGTAACACACCCAAAGAAAGACTCTAGGTCTGACCAACCGTCTCTGTCATGGGCAAAAAGATGACAGTCAATAAAATTCTAAAAGATAATTTATTGACAAAATATATCAAGAGATAAAAGATAAAACAGTCCAGTGTCCCATTTATGAATCAAATAAAAACACACAGTCCCAAGGCCAGAGCCAGCTATGCCACACGGCCAGTTACACTCCACGTGTTGCCTGTAACAGGGTTAGAAGTTGTCCTTGGAGACCCACCACCCTGCAAGCATATAGCCAGTGGTCACTCCAGCCTCTGCAACTCTGCTACCTTTAGGCTGTGGCATATAATAGGCCCTGGCCTGCACAGAGAGACAAAACTACACTTTCACTATAGAATTCATAGGACAAAACCCATCCATCCCAAACATATCTGATTTCATCACAGTACATACCTGCACAGAGAGACAAAACGACACAGCAGTGTTTGTAGTGTGGGCTATAAGTAGACCAGTGTATCAGTGCAATCAAGTACACCTGCCTCTAATTAGTCCAACCCCATTCCACCCATTGGCTCACCAAAAATGTGACACACACAAAACCACTCCCAACCCAGTGCAACTTCACACAATAATATGGAGCTGAATTAACACAGGTACATTAGTCTACCATGTTACACAAGAGTTTAAGTACGGATCCTGGGGAGGGAAAAGGGGCAGTGGCCTGGGTGGAGGTACACTGAGTCACTATAATGAGAAGAGACAGGCAGTCAGTGGCAGTCCAGTGAATCACAGCCAGAGATTAAGCTATGATGGTTATGGTTTACGTGTTGCAGGGGTAGGCGTCAGGCAAGGAGGGTGTCTAGGGGTCTGGGTGAGGAGTGGTCAAGACAGAGTCCAGAATATACTTGGAGCAACGGCCCTGGCAGGGGGCAGGTAGGTGAAAGGCCACGATGGAGGGAGTGCAACCTGATAGCAGAAAACCAGCGTCCAGACAGAGATGCGTATTTTTCCTGCTTGTGAAGTGTGACGTGGTACTATGACAGAGAGAAAACACTGTGGGTAGAAATGCAAAAGATAAGGTGGCCACGACTAAAGCGAGTTAGCTGAAGATCTGGCAAAGGTCTGTTGTGAGTGCTGGTCTTAAATGTTGGTGACTTGATTGCATTGAGCTGTGAAGGCTGATTGGAGTCTCCGCCTGAAGGTGCAGCCCAGCAGAGTGGAAAAACCCCGCACTCACCTGGACCATGACAGTTGGTTTCAGCCAGTTTGTCTTTCTTGGCTTCTTTAAAATGGCCATGTTCAAACTTTTTGTGGTAGTCCACCTGCAGTTTACTTTGGTGAGCTGTGTCTTCCCTCCCAGTGTTACCATGTGGCATTATTGCATGTCCACGATGTAACTACTTCTGATGTTTCCTCTACATTTCACCTTCACTAGTTACTTTGCCTTGTTTGGTGTCATTCTTTTCAGCACAACCTCACGTGTCTGAATTTACAGTCATGTTTTCATTTTGACAAACTGTATTAACACAATTGATCTAAAATCAGACAAACAACAAAATCCGAGTAGAAAGTTATATTTGTTACTGTAACAACCACAAACATGTTTTTCATAACTTTAAATGCAAATATAAATTGTCAGTTTTAAAATCATATGCACAAGTTTTGCAAACAACAAAGTGATTTGCAGCCATTTACCTTTTTTAACCATGTCAAACTGTTTACAGAACAATCAGCTGTTCTTCAATAAGATGCCACAAATTATTTGTGTCACTCCAAATATTTCTGTCCACTATAAAGGAAACATCACAGCCTGATACCTGCAGGTCTGACAGCAGCAGGTGTGTCACTGCTGTTTCTACCTGGAGACAGCAGTCGCCTCATTGTTCTGACACACAACACAACACTATCCACAACACCACACACTAACTACACAAGACAACACATTAACTACACACTCCAAACATCTCTCACATCTCAAAACTCTCTCTCTCTCTCGCCGTCACTCCTAAATCTTCCTAAACAACCAAATGTCATGTTGCCATATCAACATGGTGCATTTTTGCACCAACATGAACGGGCTGATTTTGGTTTGATTTTTCTTTTTTGCTCATTAGCAGAGAGGTCTCGCTGCGCTGTCCTCAGACAGTAAACACACGTATATATTGTTTATCATGAGTCTGGTTTTACGTGGCCTATCAGCACAATTTAAAAACTGGCACCTTGTTGCTTTGTCATCTTGAAGTGGTCATGTGATCGGCTTACCACGACTACTTTATTCTTCCTCAGTCAAACAGCAGCACTCATGCCATTGTTTTGCCCCCTGAGCTCCAGGTGTTGTGCCAAAAAGTGATCGTCGGGCAGAAAGTGATCGCTGTCCGCGGGAGCGCAGCTGCTTAAAGCTGCAGCGCCCAGATTACTTACAGCTACTTCTGTGCAGCTGATATAAGATGCTGTAAACTACAGACAGCTTCAACCGTCTGTTTGCTGTAAAATAGTAACGCGACTGCGCCGCAGTTTCTTGTTAGTAACGGAAACGGCGTTGTAACGATAGGAATAGTAATTAGATTACTCGTTACTGAAAACAGTAACGCTGTTATTCCCATCACTGGTAATCGGACATGTGGGAAGCTGACATGCCGGTTACCTGTCTATGTCGAGAGCACTGAAAAATTCCAGCTCCAGGCCCTGTCCAGTCAATGAAAGAGTCTGCAACATTTAAAGATATTACAGGATGACATCCTATTGGCCCACAACGTTTGTTAGACGGGAATAAAAGCTGTAGTACTGGTGGTAAAGAAAAGTAATACAGCTCAGAGATATGGCTTGTGCCAAAGATTTAATGTTAACGTATTGTTGATGGATTTCATTGTATAGGTTCAAGTTGTGTCTGGCCATGGGGCAAATGATATTACCCATGTAAATCACTTTTTATTGACTCCCCCTCTCTATAAATGTCCTCTCCAGTTGGATTCTACTCATCTGTCTTCGGTACGATGCAGCTGCTGTGTCTACTGACCTGTCCGTTGATTGGCTACATCATGGACTGGAGGATGAAGGACTGTGAAGAGGAAAGTCCAAACACACAAACAGACAATTGGTATGAAAAGTGTTCAGGATAAGATACTACAGACAGACCCAAAGGCTGGTGTTTAGTACATAGGATGGGTTTAATGTTAACTTTGAACTTGGATTGCGATATAAAAGAGGAGAAGCCTGGTGGTGTCACTAACATCACAGTGTACCTCTGCATCTTGATTTCACCACATTCAAACTTTTTGTGTAGCCATGAGCCTCTTTTGACACTTGAACTTTGTCCTTCTCAGCCAACTGAATGCCTCAAAGAGGAACAGGAAGATCCAGAAACTCACTAATGCCATGAGAGCTTTCATCTTCACCAACCTCCTGTTGGTCACCTTTGGCATCACATCCCTGATAGACAATTTGCCCTTACAGGTTAGCAAAATCCTGAGCTTCAGAAGTCCTCACTGACACATCCGAGTATCACTGTTAACATCTGACTTTGCTTCTCTGATAGATGGTGTCATTCATTCTGCATACCATAGTAAGAGGATTTGTTCACTCCTGCTGTGGAGGTCTCTATGCTGCTGTGTGGGTAACAACAGGGCTTTTACAAAGCTACAGTATTTATATATTAACATATGTAATGTGAGAGATTTTGCTTACAGTTAGAAACCCTGTAAGGAAGGCATGGGCAAGGAAATCAGAGTTTAAAATATTGATTTTCAGCCCTAACATGGGGTCCTGTGCCCTCGTATAGACGGTACAACTGTACGTGGAAAATGACCACACAGGCAGCTGAACTTTGTTTTATATTGTTAAACTGCATCGCCGAGTGCTGTGACAAGTATTTGGATTCTTTACTTAACTAAAAGACAAATGTTTTTCCATCGAAACATACTTAAAATGCCAAAACCTTCCAGGGTTTATGGCTGAGATAGGCTGTAGCCATCCCCCAAACCCTGAAACTCTAAAGCAGTTTTTTCAACAGAACATTGTTTTCCTCTCTTATGATTAACCAAACAAGCAACATCACTGAGCTTCACGTTCCCATTAACACAGACAGACATCAGACCACTGTGGAAAAGCAAATTAGTCAGCTGGAACATCCTTAAGTTGAAGCTTAGAGAAGAAAGAGACCCCAAATTTTAAAAGCAGTTTAAAAAAATGGATAAGTACAGGGAGTGCAGAATTATTAGGCAAATGAGTATTTTGTCCACTTCATCCTCTCCATGCATGTTGTCCTACTCCAAGCTGTATAGGCTCGAAAGCCTACTACCAATTAAGCATATTAGGTGATGTGCATCTCTGTAATGAGAAGGGGTGTGGTCTAATGACATCAACACCCTATATCAGGTGTGCATAATTATTAGGCAACGTCCTTTCCTTTGGCAAAATGGGTCAAAAGAAGGACTTGACAGGCTCAGAAAAGTCAAAAATAGTGAGATATCTTGCAGAGGGATGCAGCAGTCTCAAAATTGCAAAGCTTCTGAAGCGTGATCATCGAACAATCAAGCGTTTCATTCAAAATAGTCAACAGGGTCGCAAGAAGCGTGTGAAAAAACCAAGGTGCAAAATAACTGCCCATGAACTGAGAAAAGTCAAGCGTGCAGCTGCCAAGATGCCACTTGCCACCAGTTTGGCCATATTTCAGAGCTGCAACATCACTGGAGTGCCCAAAAGCACAAGGTGTGCAATACTCAGAGACATGGCCAAGGTAAGAAAGGCTGAAAGACGACCACCACTGAACAAGACACACAAGCTGAAACGTCAAGACTGGGCCAAGAAATATCTCAAGACTGGTTTTTCTAAGGTTTTATGGACTGATGAAATGAGAGTGAGTCTTGATGGGCCAGATGGATGGGCCCGTGGCTGGATTGGTAAAGGGCAGAGAGCTCCAGTCCGACTCAGACGCCAGCAAGGTGGAGGTGGAGTACTGGTTTGGGCTGGTATCATCAAAGATGAGCTTGTGGGGCCTTTTCGGGTTGAGGATGGAGTCAAGCTCAACTCCCAGTCCTACTGCCAGTTTCTGGAAGACACCTTCTTCAAGCAGTGGTACAGGAAGAAGTCTGCATCCTTCAAGAAAAACATGATTTTCATGCAGGACAATGCTCCATCACACGCGTCCAAGTACTCCACAGCGTGGCTGGCAAGAAAGGGTATAAAAGAAGAAAAACTAATGACATGGCCACCTTGTTCACCTGATCTGAACCCCATTGAGAACCTGTGGTCCATCATCAAATGTGAGATTTACAAGGAGGGAAAACAGTACACCTCTCTGAACAGTGTCTGGGAGGCTGTGGTTGCTGCTGCACGCAATGTTGATGGTGAACAGATCAAAACACTGACAGAATCCATGGATGGCAGGCTTTTGAGTGTCCTTGCAAAGAAAGGTGGCTATATTGGTCGCTGATTTGTTTTTGTTTTGTTTTGAATGTCAGAAATGTATATTTGTGAATGTGGAGATGTTATATTGGTTTCACTGGTAAAAATAAATAATTGAAATGGGTATATATTTGTTTTTTGCCTAATAATTATGCACAGTAATAGTCACCTGCACACACAGATATCCCCCTAAAATAGCTAAAACTAAAAACAAACTAAAAACTACTTCCAAAAATATTCAGCTTTGATATTAATGAGTTTTTTGGGTTCGTTGAGAACATGGTTGTTGTTCAATAATAAAATTATTCCTCAAAAATACAACTTGCCTAATAATTCTGCACTCCCTGTACATGACTGTATGATTGTGAAAAGGGCCAGAGTCAGCCAGAGTTCATGAGCTCTGTCTGTAATACATTAATACATGAGAGTCCCTTGGGTTGGGTTCGGTGTACTTTAGCAGTAATTTAAGAATGAATGAATACAAATGAACGAGAAAAAGAAGCTCGTCTACCTCTCTTTCTAGATATCCAGCCAACCACTTCGGGACACTGACAGGTATGCAGTCAATGATCAGTGCTGCGTTTGCCCTGCTTCAACAACCACTGTTCATATTGATGGTGGGACCCCTCAGTGGAAATCCTTACTGGGTAGGACACGTGCACACCGAGAGGAGTTTTTCAACAACGGGTTTTAGAAGAGCTTTGGTTTGAAACATGTACCGACGCTGTCTCCTTACCACAGATCAATCTGGGCCTTCTCATCTTCTCCCTTGCTGGCTTCCTGTTGCCAGGCTACCTGTTCTATCACCGGAGAAACCTGATCAGGGCAAAGGCAGAACACGATAGGACAGCTGCCGGCCAATCGAAGACTGAAAATGTTGCTCTAACCCAGTCATTCGGTGGAACTGCTAAGACCCTAGCCAATGGGGATGCAGCTAATGAACTCATGCCAAATGGTGTTTAAGATGAAATGAATAACTTAGTAAGTAGTTTGCTCATTTTTGAGGATATAAATCAAACTTGATTATGAAAAGGACAACACACACAAACCAAAGAAAACATATATTTCAAAAAATAACATCCTGCATTACTCCGTGAGTGAGAATAAGAGTTGGCTGTGACGAACGGCTTGTTCAGAAGAGCTTCAATCCCCCATATGACCCTGGAAATATGTGGGAAACATCCTGTATCCTTTCATCCTGTTCACCACATGCAGCAGTTTTATGAGAACATTTCCAGCTGTAGTTTAAACTGTGACGGTGGTCTGTGGGCTTGTGCTTACAAAGCAATGCAAGTGTAGAAATTCAAGCAAGCGTGCAGATATGAAATGCTTATTACACAAGTTATGAGCTTGTTTGGTTTGTTTAAATATTCTAGTTATTTAAAGTGGGTTTAAAGTCACTTGTTTCCTGGTAACTGAGGACAATTATGGACAATATTGTTACGATCTTGAGAAAATAATTTATGTTAATGGTAATATGGAAAAAGAACTGTTGATAGTTCACAAACGTTATTTTCAGAATTATAAACTTCTGCTGCTGCCACTGTGTAACGTGGTTTGACACAGTAAACTGTTACAGAGCTCTTGACCAATCACATTAGGGCGCCTGTTCCTCTGAGGTCCCGCCCTCCAACCTTGTGGTCGGGTTGATTTGAGTGAGCAGAATTTAGTTTCAACAACAGTTCCTTGCGTGAGCTTGAATTCACTGCAGCACTCGCATGCATGATGGCGTCTTTGTGTGTGTGGCTGCTGACTCTCTGCACACAGACTGCTGAACTTACGCACAAGAAATGTCATTGCATCATTGCAGTGAGCACCTGTGCCCATGAAAGATGACCTTGTAAACACAGGTGGGTGGTGCTTTCATGCTCACAGCCAAACGTGTGTGCTTGTGATGACCATATTAGGGACCTGCCCTCTCTGTGACATCATACAGGTTGGAGAGTAGAAAAAACTGTAGAAGAAAAGTGTTTAGAGCATCCTGCAGTCGAAGCTTTTGGCTTACAGAGATTACTTGTGCATTTGCTGAGCTCATTATTTGAAACATTAGCCAGGTTTAGCATGAGCATGCACATTTCATTGTCCCCTTAGGCTAGGAGGTTTGGAGGAAGTCAGTACCACTGCAAAGAACAGGGTCTAGTTAAATTCCAGAGAAATTAATTTTGAAGACATAAATGTCTGTGCTCTGGGCTTTAGTTATATTTAAAATACAGACATTTGAGGTTATGGCTTGAAGCACTGAAGGCTAGTCATGGCCGAAGTACTTCTGTGCTAACATTACATGCTGGAAACAATTATGACATGTGACAAAATGTCACATGTCAGATGACTAATCTGTTGAATCTTTGCGATTGTTTGACTGTAACATCTGAGTTACACAAAGCCAACCCTCGCCCTGTGCCTAAGAGCAGGCCAGAGCTGACCTGGTGAGTGCTCAGCCCTTAGGGACTTGGCAGTTCCTTTGTTCCATCAGCTTGGAGAACTTCCTTCAGTTCTTCTGTGGATTTGTTAGTGTCTTATTTTTATGAAGTGAGAGTAACAGAATTCATGAAAATAACTTTCACGCTGTTAGAAGATCATCTTCAGCATAATTAAGTCATTTTTTATAGACGAGTTTTTGCTCGAAGTGGAGAAATCGTTCTCTTAGCTGATGTTTCCTAAATGAATCGAGGATTGACCAGTCGGCACTTCCTTATGTTGAAGTAGCTACTGCTGGCTCTAACATGAAAGCAGCAGGATTAAATAATGTGTATGAATCACTGACAATCATCCCACACTGGGTATAAAAGCAATAGCTTGTCTCTGACTGCCAGATGGCAGCTTGTAACTAGGATGGCTTCATCTTACCTTTTAAACGTGAGTGAAGTTTATGTTCTTTACTTTGAGCACACACAGGTGTGGAAACGTGTGAAACATAAATATTTTGTTTCAGTATGGTCACTTCATCAAATCCTAGGACCAAGGACCAAGTGTAACTGTAGTGTCGGTTTGGTTAACCGATGCAGGTACGGGGATTTGCTTTCCCCTTGTTTCCTCATCGTTATTCATATTTCCTAATCCTTAAATGCGGACAGGTTGCGAACACATTGCCATTAGTGAATGAGTCTTTGTCAATGAGCACAACTCAAAGGACACGACTGGCTGCCAGTTTGTTGTGTATTTCTGTAGAACATGAAGGCTGTTGAGTGCATATGTAATAACTGAATGTGAACTTCTACCCATGTAAACAGCTGCAGATGTGTGATCTTCAACTATTTACCACAGTTAACTCTTCTATTATCAGAAACTGTTGTTGTAATACTCAGCATGTCACAAAAACTTATCCTGAGAATAATTTTCAACCCAGTTGGTATTATGATTTCCTGCTGCAAAGACAAAGGTTGTGGGGAGAAATAAACTGTTAGCTGTTGTACCCTGTTACATTGCATACATGTGATTTATTGCTGACATTTTAAAAGACACAAACACACTAGTATTTAAAACCTTGGGAATTAGGACTGTACTGTGCTTTTCCGGTCAGACTGGCTTTCTCATTGGTGGTGGTTTGTTTTTGCTGTACTTTATCCCAGTTTGAGGGTATTTATAACAGATTACTCTGTTCAGGCCAGTGTTTCTTAGGAGAAAAATCCCCACTACCAGCAGAACACCCAGCCAGTTGTAGAGCAGGTTCGATCCTTGGCTTCCCCAGTCTGCATGCCCAAGTATTCTTGGTGCTCTCCGATGCATCCATCGCAGTGTGTATGAATGTTGGTTAGATTGCACTTATGTATAGAAGGAAGTGCTTGTATGAGTGGGTGTGATTGGGTGAATGAGGCATGTTGTATAGAGCGCTTTGAGTACTCCGGGAGAGTAGAAAAGCGCTCTATAATGATCAGTCCATTTACCATTACCAAATAAACAGGAATCAAAAGAAACAATACTCAACATGTGCATCTGGCATAACTGAGGAGATGTGCAGGACTAAAGATGTGGAGGTTAAGTTCAGTGCATTTATTTACAGTGAATGTTAAAAATGTTAATAAATGCCGTAATGCAAAGTGAATGGGCAGTAGTCAGAGGATTCCTCGGCACCAGCTCAGGAAAAGAGTCTCTTCCCACAGGAAAATCTTTTCTCACTCTCAGTAACTGACATCAGGAGGACATCCAGGAATCCTGAGCAGACGAGAACAAAGAGGTGCATCAAGTAAGATGAGCCATCAAAACTGATTGTTTCCTGCTTGACGATTCAGTGTCAAATGAAGGTCTTAAACAGCAGCCAGGCCTATCACAGGATTGTCAACAGGTAAGTTAATTAACACAGGCATGCTGGACTGAAGGGGGGAAACAGGAGGACCAGACCCCACAACAGAAGGTGTGAATAATGCAAACATACACTCCCACAGACAGAGGAGAGGAGCGACAGATAGAAAGAGTGAGCCAGCACAGGAGGACTGAAGGACCATGACACCAATCCACAACTGCTCTTCTGGGCCATATCACTCCTGCTCCACCAGATATCGTAGATCTCTCCTGCGATGTCGAACATTCATAATCTGCTGGCCAGTAAAGGCTGGCTCACTGAGGCTGAACCAACCAAGAGTGGGTTTGATCTGAGAAACATGTTATTGATTCTCATATTTTGAGCTGACAGACACAGGATTAAACAGAGCCTCAATTTCAAACGGTCTGATGAAGTTTGGAGACGTTTTATCAGATTCCGTTCTTAGAGGAATTTTCTTTGTTGATAACCAAACCTTTTGTCTCGGCATGTAACTTGGAGTTTGGTCTGGACGACTTTTATTTCGATCCTTGGTCCACAATAGTGCTGCCCGAGCTGCCTTCCAGATCCGCTGACAGCAGCGGAGAGGATTTGGCATTGCTGGAAACAGTGGAGGTTGATACCCGAGGAGTGCTTCAAACTGAAAGAGACCAGGGGCTGATGGTGTCATGGTGTTTTGTGCATACTTAATCCAGGTGAGTTGCGTGCTCCGGGTGGACTGATTAAGGGAAGTGATGCAGTTCTGTGAATGGAAACCAGAAGAAGAAAGGTTCACCTGGACACCGAGGATGGAGCAGAATTCTTTCATACAAGTGCTGTAAATTAAGGACCCTGGATTGAAACTATGTCCAGTCGAATTCAATGAACACATCGTCTACCAGGAGCTGAAGCAAGTGTGCAGCTTTTGAAAAATGATCAACAATAGTGAGGATTATTGTGTTACCAGAGCAAGGGGACAAGCCGGTGAGAAAATACACTTCAATGTGGGACCAAGGACTTCCAGGAGTTGGAAGTTGGTGGAGCAGACCGACTGAAGGAGACCTGGAAGATTTGTTCTGAGCACACACTGTACAGGCAGCAACGCATTCTTTTTTCATCTTTTATCAAGATATCAACGAGTATTTACGGGTCAATCTACGTCCCGTCCCATATGGTCGCGAGCAGTGGGTAGTGACTGAAAGAATGAGATCTCGGATACAAGCGGTGGAACTGGTCTTCCTCTGAAGGGTGGCTGGCCTCTCCCTTAGAGATTTGGTGAGAAGTTCGGCCATCCAGGAAAGGGCTCAGAGTAGAGCTGCTGCTCCTTCGCATCAAAAGGAGCCAGTTGAGGTGGTTCAGGCATCTCATAAGGATGCCTTCTGGGCGCCTCCTGGGTGAGGAGTTCAGGGCATGTGCCAACTGGAGGAGGCCCTGGGGCAGACACGCTGGAGAGATTATATTTGTCGGCTTGCCTTGGTCTTTCCCCGGATAAGCTGGAGGAGGTGGCGGGGGAGAGGAAAGTCTGGGCTTCTCTGCTTAGGCTGCTGCCCTGCAACCCGGCCCCAGAAAAGCAGAAGAAGATGGATCGATGGATCTTTTATCTTTTTTATGTTTGCAACCAAAACAGAAGCTTGAAGAATTACATTATTACTGGGATGATATGCAAACTCGGAGGTATGAGCTCAGTGGATGACCTGGGAGTGGACACAAGAGGGGACAAAAAGAGGTGGCCCATTACCTGGGCCTATATGTCTCCTTCTCTGATTCACACCAAGTGATTTGCATCATATAAATCAAGTTTTGAAAAGATTGTGGGTCGCTACAACAGTTCAAATGCTGATGATAACAGAGGCGGTGGATATTTGTTTTTAACTGTGAGGGATGTGTTTGCTCAGCCAAGGGTATCCTAACACTAGCACTGCAAAAGTATACTTGGATATGTTCTGAGTGGGCACTGGATTTATAGAGAGAGAGAGATCATTTCCAGGAGACATGTCCAGTCCAACTGTGAAACTTGAAGGAGTTTGGATAATTCTTCCAGGGGAATCTTGAGTGTGGCAGTCAGGTTCTACTCAGGAAAATTCTGCTCTGCTCCAGAATCAATTAAGGCTTGGACAAAATATGAAATAGACCGGGAAACAAGTTTATCTGGCAACAACAATCTTGGCAGGGAATGTTTCTTTAACTTCCATCCATCCATTTGCTTCTGCTTATCCTTTTCAGAGTTTGCTGGAGCTTATCCCAGCGAGAGGTGGGGTACACCCTGGACAGGTCGCCAGTCTGTTGCAGGGCTAACGCACAGACAACCATTCACACCTATTCACATTAACCTATCCCCACTAGATGCATGTCTTTGGACTGTGGGAGCAAGCCGGAGTAACCGGGGAGAACATGCTAAACTCCACACAGAAAGACCCCAGCCTGATGGTGGAACTGAACCCAGTCCCATCTTGCTTTTCAACAACAGTGCTAACCACCGTGCCACCCCCTTTACCTTTATTTAACGTGCCCACCAGTATCCCCACCTTTCCTGAGGGGTGTTGTCTTTTATATGCCGCAGATCTGTTTAAAAAAAACTCACCTTCTGTCATGGTCCCTGTGCCCCCCCGGCCAGCCCAGTGTGGCCACAAGTGTTTGTTGTTTTTGTCTCACTCTCTCTCTCCTACCTGTCTGCCTGGGCAGAGCTCTGATTGGGCTCCCGCCCTTGGCCCACGCACCTTGCAGTTCTCTGGCTCTTAAGGCTGGGGCTCTGAGCTATTCGTCGCTGGAATATTGAGTGACCCTCGTCAGTATTGCCTGGCTTCATTGTGAATTAGTTGTTCCCGTGCTTGCCGCCGACTTACCCTCGTCTATGTTGATAGGTTTATCTGGACCTGCCCGTTTTGATTCCTGGACCCCGTGAGTGTGAGTGGGTTGCCCGTGTGAGGAGTGTTTGGACGAGGAGCGGAGCGAGTGTGAAGACGTGTGTTTCCCCCCTGTTGACCCCCGGGACCCTGGTGTTCCCCCCCCCCCCCCCCCCCCTTCACGTGTACATAGCGCACCGGAGTGTCTAATAAAGTGTTGTTAAACTGTTGAGTCCGTTCCACCCCCGTTCTGTCACGGAGGTGGAACGGACTCAGGTGCAGACTGAAGTAGCACGGTTCAACAACACTTTATTAAACACTCCGAGCGAGAGAAAAACAACAAGCACTTGTGGCCACACTGGGCTGGCCGGGGGGGGCACAGGGACCATGACACCTTCTCTGATTATTCTGTGTCTCTCAAATGGAGAAAGCCACGCCTGGCCAACTTCTGTCACACCTTTCAGGAAGTCCTCCGGGAAAACTCCACCAGAACTTGGGGTTATTCTAACCAGGGCAGCAGATCGTGCTGGTGATAGGACAGTGGAAACAGACATACCTCAACTCTGAAGGCTGGCATCTTGTTGGCCAGAGACATGGTGGAGTAGTCCCTATGTATATCCAGCTGGGCTTTTTGGAGGACAGGGGAGCAGCAAATTCAGGTCTGGGTCGAGATGTGGCTAAATCATTCTGTCATAACCAGAGATGGGTTATGACAGACTGTAATCTGATTACTTTTTTCAGGTAACGAGTAAAGTAAGGGATTACTATTGCAAAAACGGTAATTAGATTACCGTTACTTTCCCGTAGGAACGCTGCGTTCCTGCGTTACTAAAACCGTGATTTTTTTTGCGAGAATGTCTCATGACAGTGACGTGAGCGAGTGCGACGTTTGTGACAACAGCTGTGTGCAGATCAACAGTGGACAGTGTTGGGGAGTAACGGAATACATGTACCGCCGTTACGTATTTAAAATACAAAATATGAGTAACTGTATTCCGTTACAGTTACCGTTTAAAAAGGTGGTATTCAGAATACAGTTACTTTGTTGAAATAAATGGATTACACTGCGGTACTTTCCTGTTTCATTTTGTCGCGGGTCAGGACTGTTTGGGTTTTGTTTGACAGCTACGTTCTGTTGTTCCAGGCGGCAGCGTTACGGTTGCCATGGTTACAGGGTGACGCTCTCTCTCTCTCTCTGGGACTGTGTGTTTCCTGGGTGAGAGAGCGCCTTTTCGTTGTTGTTGTTGTTGTGCTAAGCTAACAGGCAGAATGCTACAAGCATAGCTCTAAAGAATGTAGCATCATGTTCAGTGTAGTCCGTGCTGCAGGGAGAATGCACT